GGAAAGCAGCCTCTTTCCCCGGTTATTTCAAGCACACTTCCACAGTTTTACACTTTCACCTGCAAGTCAGGTCTTGAAGGAAGGTGCTTCTTCAGTGGCTTCATCTCTGAAGTGTTTCCCACTGTCTTTCTCCTTGGTTTCTCCCCAGGTCTGTCCCTGGTGGTGGGGCTGGTCCTCTACATATCCAGCATTAACGACGAGATGCTGAACAGGACCAAGGACTCGGAAACGTTCTTCAATTACAAATACGGATGGTCATTTGCCTTCTCTGCCATCTCGTTCCTTCTCACAGAGGTACCCAGGAACTGTCACATCCCTGTAACTAGTGTATCCCATTCTCGGGGAGGGGGGGGCATTGAGGCTGTGAGCAGAAAGAGGACTCGGATGGAGTTTAAGGGTAGGCTATGAGAGCAGGTACATAGTATGGTGGGAGACATATACAGTGGGGACAGACCCCAAGCCTGGAGCACCGGTGGAGCGTTTGATCGTGACTTGATGCCGAGCACAGATGCAGAGGAGGACATGTGGTTGTGCCACGTTATTTACTGCAGGAACCCAGGGCACAGGGCAGTGAAGTGGCTCCTCAGGAGCCCTTGTGCATCGTCAGCAGAGCAAAAAAAGCAATTTATATTTTTGTTCTGTTTTGGCGGTGGTGGAGAAGGCAGCCGTCAGCAGGGCGAGCGTCAGGCCATGTCTCTCTCCCTGCAGAGTGCCGGGGTGATGTCCGTTTACCTGTTCATGAAGCGATATACGGCCGAGGACATCTACCGACCTCACCCCGGCTTCTACCGTCCCCGTCTGAGCAACTGCTCCGACTACTCGGGGCAGTTCTTGCACCCGGACGCGTGGGCACGGGGACGCAGCCCTTCGGATATCTCCAGCGAGGCGTCCCTGCAGATGAACAGTAACTACCCGGCTCTGCTCAAGTGCCCCGACTACGACCAGATGTCCTCGTCCCCGTGCTGAGCCCCGCCACCCCTGCACCCACTCCCACCCAAGCACCGATGGTTGCTGAGTCCTGACTCCATTTGTCTTTTTTTTTTAGGCCACTCTTTCAGGGCAATTGCCTATTTATAGGAGCGTAAATATAACCAGAGAGATTGGTTATATAACCAATAATGTAACCTAGAGAACTGGGATATTTTCCTTCCTTTATTTTTTTTTTTATTCTTCCCTGCATAACTAAAAATCTCTCCAAAGTCCTCTTCTTGCAACTCATCCCGCTGTGCAAACAGCAGTTCTGCCTGGGGGATAAATCCAGGGCTGGACTCGAGAGCAGAAAAAAGAAAATAGAGTAGAACTAAGGAAAAAAAAGTGTATTTTTTGGTTTAGGTAGACTGCAAAAGTTTGTGCATTTGGCTGTATCACTTAATTACAGATTTATTGGCCTAAGCGCCAGCAGGCGTAAAAGATTTGTGTAAATTTCCAAGAAATAGCCATCATTAGAAAAATATAAATTTTATCTTGATTCCATATTTACTGATTGATATCTCTTGTTGCTGGATATCACTTTTAACCAGGCTGTAATGGGAAATAGCCATCTTTCTCGACTATACCTCAGCAGGCTTAGGCACAAGCAGGTTGCTGTTTCTCAGTGGCCACTTGCAAACTGTTGCTTAAATATCCCGTGTCAGACTGGAGGCACTACAGCCCTGGGGTGTCTGGGCTATTGGGTGGCTCAGGCTCCCACATTTCCTCCGCCATCCCATAGACTGGAAGTCTGAAGAGTGACTGGGAGAATCTCAGTGCAACACTGAGTGGAAAACTACCTAAAACTTTCCCACAGGAAACATTAGGCACAGGATTTAGGGGAAATTAGGGCCAGAAGTGCAAGTTATTTTGGTGAAAGGCGAAATCCCAAACTGGTGTAAAGTGATGTAGCTGAAATTAATGGCACTAGTCCACCATAGAAAAGTAGTTGGCTTATACTTAATTTTTGCAGAATGTGGTATTTTAGCTGCTTTTTCATGTGTGTATGAACCTTATTTTGAGGTTTTAAGTTTTAAAATTTCATATAATGGTTTGGCATTTTGGTCTTAGAAGACTTAACAGCTGCCAGGGTGAGAGCATCACTCTGATTGAAAACAAAGGGCAGGGAAGGAAAAGGCCATGCTCCCTCGTGCGCTCCTGTGCCAGCCGCGAGCTTGTCCCCTCACAGGAGAAAGAACTTTGTCCAAATTTTATTTCTGTTCTTGTTACTTTAAACCTTTCTGAAAATTTCCTTTCTGCAAAACAAAACCCTCCAGGGATTCTTGGTATATTTAAGCTTGTTTTGTCTTACTGTAATTAAAACAAATAGAATATACGCACTTTTAAGCTCATTTGTAGCATACCGTGTAATGAATGTTGCACCTCTTTGTTATCATTTATTACTTATAAACTACTCCAAAGTAGGGTCCAAGCCCTGGCGCAGCACCACTGTTTGCACCAACTCTGACGCCCATCCTGTGGGACCTCACTGCAAGCATGTATCCAGCCAATAATCCCTGAACAGGATTCTTTCCTCCCCAGCTCCTTCAGATAAGCAAGTAACGCATATCTAGTGTATATCTATTGTTGCTGACTCCTAATTTGCTAAGTTTTAAAACCAGGGCATCTTTTTGTAGACACAATTGTATTTACCTTTAGTTTTTGTATTACCCTCAAGTGTCTGTTTTCTCATTTTAAAACCCAGTTTGTAAGTGCTATGTGACAGGTTCACTGCTGGGAAGGTTCAAGCATTAAAGCACAACTCAACCCCACCATCCAGTGACAAAGCTTGCTGATCCTCATCTGTTCACCCCAGCCAGGTAAACCATCAGTTTTCCACTGGGATCTCTGTGTTCGGTGTGAATTAGGCTCCAAGAAAGCGCCGGAGTCCACAATCTTGCATTTCCCAGAGCCCGATCTAGTTTGCTGGACTTGATGTTAGTGGTTTCTGGTGGCTCAAAGACAGTTGCCTCTGCATCTTCCCCCGAAGGATCCTTTATATTCTCAGTCCGTCTTGGAAGGCAGACCTTCGGAATCACCAAAATTGCTGATGCTCAGAGGCACGAGGGCTGTCCCACACGGCTTCCTTCCCCACGCCGGGGAGTCATTTAGTGCGGTCAATACTGTGCAGCATCATGAGACATCCCTGTCCTCAAGTGGAATGTTCCTTTGTACTGATTAAATGCAGAATTCTTCATTTTATAAATTGTCTGCCTACATAAGCAGAAGACATGAAAAAAACTTCACGCCTTCCTCAAGGCCCCAGAAGGTTTAGCAGAGTCTAGGGGCGAATTAGAAAAGTAATTATTTTAATTCATTGGAGAGATTGTCGTCATGTGGCTGCATTTGTGAGCCCAGGAGTTCGCACGTTCACCCAGCGAGCACAAGCCCTTCGTAAGTGCAGGACTGCTGAAAGAAATCTGTCAAAATAAGTGCTTGCTCCTGGTTCAGAAAATGCTGGTTTTGGGCAGGAAAATGTGGCGTTTGGTAAAGCACAGGCAACAGTGGTTGTGCCGCCGGGTGGTGTTGCTGTCCCTCTAACAGTGCCCGGCGTGGCAGCAGCTTTCAGCATGGACGGCTATGGGCCTCTAAATGCAAGTATCACACCTTCATGGACTGTGGAGAAACTTCTCCAGAGCCTCTGAGGCACGGAGACATGAGCATGGCGTGGGTGAGGTGGTGCGGCAAGCTGCGGAGCCCAGCCACCCTGCAAGGTCCTTCTCCCCCAGGCATCACTCCGTGGCTAATGTTCTCCACAGCAATAAATGCTCAGTAAATAAATGTAGTACCCCCGTAGGACACCTACTCATCATTTAAACACCTCTCCTAGTCATCTGGCATGATTTCACCCCACATTAATCTCTGTTATGCCACATCCTTCCCTCCTTGAATAACACCGCTCAGTCGCCTCCCCTGGTCTCTCTCCCACCCCTATTTCAGTGCTGGCCACCCGCGGTGTTCTTTCTCTGTCTGTTGCTTGGATTGCAATAAGTAAAAAGTGGAGTTGGAGGATAAACTAGCAATTAAATTAGAGGTTTAAACCCTATGAAACTGAAGTTCTTAAATTCACCTGATGGGACGAGTCAAGCCACTCACGGGCCCATAGGAAGGTAATTGCTCATCTGACACTTCGCAGAAAATTGTTTGCACTTAGAAGCAAAAAAAACCCTCTTGTTTTGCATGAATGACTAATTGGTGTCAGACTCTTTGTGCATGCGGCTGTGTCTGCTTGAACTATACTGTTAGAGCAAATTACTGGGATTACGGGTTAAATAAAAACCCGGCGCTGCCTGATCCACACAGTTCGCTGCTCCCTGGTGCTGCTCAGGACTGCAGCGGGCTGAAGTTTTTTTCTTTCCCTGCCATCGGCCTCCCACACGGCACACACATCCATCCCGCAGCCTGGGTGCCATATGGAGTTCACGGCACCGGGAGGGATGGATGGTAACTGAAGAAACTGCACGTGGGAGGCGAGCGAGCCCCCAGCCCACACAGCTCGGGAGAGGCTGGTCGGGAAGCCAGGTGCCCTGAGACCTTCTCGGGGAACTCCTGGGAGCCACCCTCCCCTTGTGTGTTTGGGGTTTTTTAAATTAAACACCCCTTCTGTAAGCCCAGGGAGGCATTTTCTGGCCTCTGACTCCCAGGACACGAAAGCTCCTCTCTGCCAGCATCCCCCCTCCTACCCCCAGGGCATGCTCTCCTCGTTGCACCCTTCCATCACATCACTCCCATGGCCCCAGGTGTGATAGGGCCTCAGTGGGAACGGGCTCCATTTGCCCATTAGTTAGGAGTGTCCTGAAAACCCTTATTGAATCATGAGGTATGGATGCAAGAGGTTCATTAGAGACCAATCGTGAGCAGTAATTAAGTAGCCAGGAATAACAAGGCTGTGCTGGGTCATGTTCTCCCTCAGTTGTTGCTGGAGCAGCTCACGGCTCCAGAGCTCTTTCTTGCACAGTGGAAAAAAAATTTCTATATATATAAATCTACATATAAGTATAGCTGAAATGCCCTCCAGTGCTGCTCCCCTCGCACCTATGTTGCTAGTGGGCATGAGGAGCCACCAGGAAGGTTAAGGTGAGGCCAGAGCCCCCGCTGGGCAGTAACCCCCTCCCAGCAGGGATGCAGACCAAGAGCACTGCTGAGCTGTTTCGGCTGCTGGTGAAGCTGCTGCTGTTGTGAGGTGAGGTTTGGGCAGGTGTTTTGGGGCAACCTGGTCCTGCTCTTGCCCAGGAGGATGGCATGGAGCTGCTGGTCAAGTGCGCGGGGGGGACGGCAAATCCCTACAGCTGAGGAAGCCCCAGATGAACCTTGCCGTTGCCTCCTCTGGACACAGGACTGAAGACCTGTGCCCTTTTATCAGCTTCGAGCAGGCAAAACCCAAAGGTATTTTATTAGAGTGGGTTTCAGCCACATATCACTGTGGCAGGGTAAAGAGCTGACTCAGGCACGATGAAGGCAGTTTGGGGGTTTCCAGTACACAGTGCTCTGCTCACAAGCCCTTGTGTTGCATTATTAATACTATTTGTCAGGGTTGTGTATTCATCTTCCCAAATGTGAGTTAGCCCCATGGGCTATTCAAGGTGTGCTAAGAAATTAAATAGTCTTATTCCTCCCTGCTGATAGCTTGTTAGCTGTGCAGAACTGGTGTGTCCATGATGGGGATGCTGTGTGAACAGGCAAAGTATTCACATAAGTAAATACTCCTCCACTAATGAGAAGTAGCTGAGAGATATTTATTTTCTTCTTCTTCTTCCTTCCTTATGAGATTACTTATTTACTTCCAATTTTTTTCCCACCACAAAAGATTGACATTCAAACCTAACTAGAAAAAACAGCATTTCTCCCTTCTTGCTTTTCTCATCCAGTTTTAGGGCCTCTTGGTGGGGTCTTCTTCACCTTGCTGCAGCACCCCTTGCTGCATGGGTTGGCTTGCTCTGCCATCTCTTCCTCCCCGAGAACCACATCAGCTCTTCAACTTTGATTTCTGCAAATTGGCTGCACCACAGCTGTCCTGTACTCATTAAAGCTGTGACTCCTGGGGCGGGGAGGAGGGTGTCCCCAGCTGCTCAGTGGGTGCCACCCCACACGCCCTGCCGTGGCTGGGGTGCTCAGCTGACCTTTTCTCCATGTACCGTGGGGTTTCTGTCTATCGCTATTGTGTAGATATCAAATTGTAACCTGTTCCCATGGATACAGTAGATTATAGAAAGGGAAGAGCTGCCTCTTTGCTTTATCTTCATGTACGGTTTTATATACATTAGACTTTGGATTATGATGACCTCAGCAGGCAGTGATTATAATGGGCAGGCGATGGCTGCAGCGATCACCCTGTGTATCTTTAATTGCAAACCAGCCCCCCGGATGTAACCCTTGAAAGGAAAGGAGAGGTGGCTCTGGATGGCGTGGGACTGCCCATCGTCTGGCCCTCCCCGCGGCTGCAAAATGTGTGATTAGCAAAATATGTGCCCAGGTCACATTGATTTCAGTGACAGGCACTGCAGTGCTGAGCACGCTGGTAAGCTGTGCCCCCATGTCCCTACGGGTGACACAAGGAAGGGCCTTCAGCCAGTCAGTCACACTGGCTTGTGTCACAAATGATTCCGGTGAAAATGGGGATGGATGAAGAGGAGATGACGCTGTCAGCGTTGCTGTCCTGTAGCCTGGTGCCCATCACTGCAGCAGCGGTCGGTACGTAGCGTCACTGTGCCAACATCCTTCCTGTTTTCACACCACTTCATCTTGGAGTCTCTGGCCAATTTGGTCTTCAGTAGGGGAAACACTCTTTTTATTATTACTATTACAATTTGCAAGACAGGAAAGCAGTATTTCAACCAAAAGATTAGCCCCACTCAACCGTGTTGCCAGACTCCTATCCAAAGGGCTGTATTTGAGGAATACATTGGCTCTAACTGGATGTTTTGAAGCCCCGAGCAGTTTGTACCGCAGTGTTCTGCAGGTTCTGTCCGGCATTTTAATCAAACCATCTCAGAAATCCCCAAGCCTCACGCCTCTCTCCATTTCCAGTGAAAGGAGAAGTATTCACGCACAAATTGTGATTAATATGCCTTGAAAATATGCAGCACCAGCATGCAAGGTTATTCCCCAATAAGCCGTCACTTTTGTCATCAGCTCCTGAAAAATCTGGCTGTGATGAGATGCAGCTGCTTTTAATCTTTAATGTTAGGGCAGCGTGAATTCATTTTTCTAAGAGGAAAAACCCCGTGCGAATGGGGTGCAGAGAAGGTGTTTGATTTGGGCGCATTCAGGTTTGCAGCTGCTTGAATGGAGGCTGATGCAGCTCAGGCTGCTCAAAGGGCTGCGTGAGCCAGCGTGTTTGGGTTCTGTTTAAATCACTCATTTTGGAACAAAGTCCATACTACCTGAATTAGTCCCAACTACCATCAAGCACCTGTAAATCTGCATGTAGAGAAATCCCCGGACCTGAATTTCAGCTCTCTGTTCCTAATCAACAGCGTGCGTAGGCACGTGTTGAAATCCCTTGGACTCCAGCAGGATCCACATCAGAGCCAAAATTAAGCCCAAGCGAAGCTCTGCTGAACAAGAGCTGTCTTTGTGGGCATGTTTAAAAGCACCTGGTAGTGGGCTTCTGTGATAGAGGAGCTGGAAGGCACGAAAGAGGAGATAGTAAAGACACACGACCATAAATTTCTTATTTTCCCAGAGTGATAACATCTTTAATGAGGTGTGTTTTCACGGAAATATAACCCTGAGGTTCTCGCATCTGCCTGGCATCTTGACACACGCCAGCTTCTCGCTGCAACTTCAGGGGGAAAATTTGCCGAGAAAGCTGAAAGGTGTTATTTAATTAATAACAGCTAATTTGAATAAGTACCGAAATGTCACTCGGCTTCTCTGGAGGTGAGCTTGGTGATTTCACCTCCACGGGGAAATGGGAGGTTTCTGAAGCCAGGGGACACTATCAGCTCACGCACACGAGCAAGGAGCAGCAGTGTCTTAAGACTCAGCGTGCTGTCATGTCAGCGCAGGTCAGAAGCTGCTCATTTCTTTATATTTAATAAGTAAATCTATGGTATTTAGATTTAGCATAACTGAGTGCTGTGTGGGCCTTAATGCTGGTTTAATCTGTCTCCAGCTCGGCTCATCAAAGGCTGCTGTACGTGAGGGGATAAATGAGGCATCCCCTGGCACGTGACGAGGCTGCACAGTGCCCATCTGACATCTTACACTGAAATAATACGGCTTTTAAAGCTGCCTTGCTTCAATACTAGACAAGTTCAAATATCTGAGTGAAAGCTCTTATTTACCCTTGAAAAGCAAATTGTGTTTTATTTTAGCAGGAATTAGAGGGTCTGTTTCTTGAGAGAGCATCCCCAGTTCTTGCTGCGCTTAACGAACTTTGGAATGACCGATGTTTGTCCAGGACAATAGGATTATATATTATTTAGTAGTATTATTCATAATTTAGATAAACAGAGGAGGTCTCTCTAGCAGTGCAGAACACGTACATGTAAAATCCCCATCAAATTATTTATTTCCATATAAATTATGTACTGTCAAAATGGCTCTACTGATCTGAAGGTTAAAGGCTTCATCATGGAAATGTAGCAGCTCCCCATCATTTCAATCAGAATGTGATTGTTTACAGAAAAAAATCATCCTGGTGGTTGTGGATTTCCTATTGATCTGCTTCAGCAGCTCTGTCTGACTTAGAACAGCTGAAATAAATGATATAAAAGTACAAACCTACGGTTGTTTTATCTTCCCATAAAAAGTAGGTCATATCCCCAACTGAGCTGTATTTTATTCATGTAAATACATTTTTACAATTAAAAATGCAACAAAAACTACGTTCATGTCAACAGAGCTGAGCCTGGCGAAACTGGGTTAGGGCTGATGCCCGGGCTTCCTCGGGGCAAAGCCTTGCTGCCGGACTGGCAGGTCCCTCGCTCCTCTGCTGTGGACCCGGGGCCCGAAACCGCCAGTTTGGGAGCAGGAAAGCCGGGCGAAGCAGGAGAGGAGTGAAAGCACTTAAAGCTCTCCAGATTGAGCTCCATATAGGAATAATTATGGCTGTTATTTTAAGAAGTTGTTTAATAATGTTAAACTGATGACAGCCTGAGATATAACACTGCCGCCTCCACACTCCTGGGGGCTTCTTCTTTTCTTCCCCTCGGCCCCCCGCCATCAGCTCTGGTATATTTGCGCTTCATTTGTAACAAGAGGAAAAAAAATGGGGTTAGGTCCAGCTGGCCTTTGTCTGAGAAGAAAGGTGGGAAGGTGATGCCCTGAAGCTCCCGAAGAGGGGTGTGCGAGGAAGGTTTCACAGTGCCAAACCCAGCAGCCCGAGCTGCACTGAGGCTGGGCTCTGGCCAGCACCTCCTCTGCAGGCATCAGTGGGTCATTAATGGGGGGGGAAGAAACTCTTTGACCAGGTCTTCCTTGTTCCAGGTGATGCCATTCAGCTGGGGTTTTTGTCTGGTTGGTTATTTCTCGTTGTTGTGTTGGGGGTAGAATTGTCCCTTCCATGCACAACATCCTTTTCCAGCCGGCGGGGGACGGCTGTCTTTCCTGTCCATGCTGGAGCTGCACAAGAAATAAGAGGTTAGGAAGGTTAAAATGCAATTTAAAGTACTGTGAAAATAGATCTGTCAACCTGACCTATTTGCTTGAGGGTCTTTGGGTTTTGTCTGGTTGGGTTTTTTAAGATGTCAGGAAAGATGCTTGAAAATAAATTAGGTTTCATTTAGCTCAGAGTAACAATTAAAACTTGGAATGGTCAGGGCCTGTTTAGGCAAATCAATTAAAAGGTTGGCACATAAGTGATGTGTACCTTTGTCTTTCACTGTCCTAGTCAGGCTGGGAGACCTTCAGACTGGGACGTTCAAAGGCAAGGCCATTAATACAACACGTATTTCCATCGGCAGACCCTATAACTGTCCTTTATGACCTTCTGGCTGGTCTCTAACCTGCTTTATTGCAGGCTGCTCCCTGAGGAGGTTTTCTCCATCACCTATCTTCCAGCCTATTTCATTTAAAGCAATTTCATTCGGCATCTCCAAATTCATCCCCAGGAATTTGAAGGAGCAGACACATCTCTCTGCCCACTGGTAGTGCTTGAAGTCACCTGCACGTCCCACCCTAGGTGCGATGACTTTCCATCAGTGGGGTAACCCATGGGATGGATGCGAGGGTAATTCCAGCGAAGTAGAGGGGATTGAGAAACCTTTAGGAAGTACGGTCCCTATTTCATACTCCCTCAGTGATGGGGTTAACATTTTTCACGATTTACAATGAAATTGAGACAAAGCACCAGCTATTTAAAACATCAGAGAGAAACTAGGGAGACCACAGGTCATAGCACAGAAGACGTCAGACATAAAAGGACCCTTCACTCTAGTGGACAAAGACACTGCCGGGCTGGAATGGGACAAAATTCAATCAAAACTTGGAACTGTTAAAGAGAAGCTCCTGGTCTCAGCTTCGGCCCTGCAGCAGTACTGGCGTTAAGACTCTCAGGCTGCTCACCATGTCCTGGGCATGTAGCGGCAGCAGGCGCGGAAAGACCGGCAGCTTCTGCGGCATCCCAGCTGCAAGCACTCATCGCATCAAATATTCATGATCGAAATGGATGCAGAGAGCTCCCCCAGCCCGCAGTCCACCTCGCCGCCTTGCCGGCAGGTTGCACTCCTGACAGACAGCATCAGATCTGTACTGGCTGCGAGTGCTCATCGGGAGGGACCTTCACTAGCAAGGCTGAGGGAAGCCCCATGGATTGAAATATTTAAGAGTAGCCAGGACGGTTCCCTAGTAACTACCCTGAGGAGACGAGTCCTGCGCTGACAGCTCTGTATGTGCTCACATCCGCGGTGCAGGAGAGCAGCCTCCCGAAAGCAGCTCAGCAGCTCCCAATGGTGGTGGGCAACACTCTTGGAACCATTTGCAGTGCAGGTATCAGGCAGGGCTGTGTGACAGAACCCGGCATCACTAAACTACCACTGGGGCCTCCCTCCCCTAACACTCCATAGGATTTCTTGCTCCAGACAGGTTCTGTGCAGGGAGCTACAGCAAAAGCGGGGATAAAACCCGCTTCTCCTCCGATTTCAAGGCACAGGGTCTCCTGCCTGTCCCTGCCCAATGTATCTCACTGCCCGTGGGCTCACCAGTGGCTGGGTTTCATGGACAAAACAGGGTCTCAGCGTGATCCCTGTGCTCCCTGCCCCGGTTATGCTGCTTTTCAGTGCTGAAAATTCATCACATTTTTCTTTTCCCTTGCAAACTGCACGAGGGTACCTGGGTGCCAAGTGCCCAACTGAGAGGTGCTGTCACCGCTGGGACGAGGGGAAAGACACGTCACCAGGCAGCAGCCTGATGGGGCCCTTCTGCCTGGCACGGGTGCGAGTAACAATTTTGCCAGCTCCAGCACTTGCATTTGGCCCAGGCGGGGATTGAGAGTTAAATAACAGCCACAGGAGAATCCCACCCGTTCTTCCTTCATGAAAGAGACAACAGGTTGTAAAGTTCATCATTAATGCCAGAGGCAGAAAAGCTGAAAACCAGAGGATTTAAAACGTGTTTTTATGAACCCTTTCATCTTTTTTTTTTTTTTTTACTTAAAAACATTGCAGAATGAGCGTGTGGAGCAGTTTCCACCCTGAACTGCTCATCATTGGTATGTTGAAACGCTGTGTTACAGAGACGTTTTAACC